ATGGCAAAAAATAAGGTTACAAAAACAAGCCAAGGGCACATCATTAGAAAGATCTGTAATACTTTTTTTTCTGTCTCATACTTGCTTTGTGATTGCTATCAAGTTGTATATTAATGCTATACATTTATTAAGATTATAACTTTACAAAAAGAATGTTTTTATAATTGTATACATTAATAACCATTTTATAACAATTGTAAGTAAACAATAGTTGTTATTACTTTATTATATTGTAAGTACCACTCTGTTTTTATAATTATAATAGAAATATAATGTAAACATAATACTTTGGCTTGTCATACAAGGTTAGTATAATTAGTTTTATAGATTATATTTATCCATAGTACTTATATTGTCTTGTAATGTGTTAATATGTCTTATTTAGACATTACAATTCATCTGGAAACCTTGCAGTTACTTTATAATGTATATATAATGCTTATATTGCTTTATAATGTATATACAATGTTTATTTTGCTTTACAAAGTCTAAAATTCCATATAAGGAATGCGACTTTTTCGCGATGGCCCGCCTGTCGCACATCACTTTGTGCATCTTGCATCAGTCAGTAGCAAAGTTGAGTGTACCTTATTCCTCAAAACTCTAACTGCGGAAGACTTTACCCATACTGACTTGCTTGTCCGCCGTTAGGACTCATTACTGTTCATGCAACGGATAGACACGCTGGCATGTGGTCTGATACCAAAGACTACATAATTCTCATTTGAATTCTCTTTGCACTGCCTTTGCATGATATAGAATATAACTAACAACTCATAAGCAGTGCCCGAGAGTAATCAGACGAGTTATTGGCGTGTTTGTAGCCGAGTCACTTCAGCATATTGTCTCTGTTCTCTATAGTCTTACATCCTTTTGTGCGTCAACCTCTTCCGTATGAAGATTCTACGTGTGGCTGGTCGGCCCCTAAATGGCATCTCGGGAACAATACGTACGGTCTCGCTGAATCGGAAATTGCCCTTGATGGACAGGACGGAATCATAAACCAGGGCTCCGAAGCTCACATCAGATCAATGCTTGTTCTTATTATAAAATAAGTGTAAATTCGAGTAATAGGGAACGCTGACAATTAATCACTGGCCATCAATTAAGGCCATCGGGCAGGAACAAGAAGCAAGGAATAATCTGGATTCCAAATAGTGAGTTTCTTCCTTTAAGCACAACTGTTCGTTTCCCGCCTGATACCGACTGTATACGCAGCCTATTTTGAAGCAGAAGTGAACCCTGAGAGTCTGTTTAAATACATCTTCGTCCAAGTTGTGGTTCACCGAGTACAATGATACGAGACGGTTGAATTCGACGTACTGATTAGAGTTAGTCAATTCCAGTAACGTTCAAGCATGAGGATCTTCTTGCTGCTTCCTGATTTCTGTCAAGCTGGAAGCATGTGGCATGAATGCATACCAGGGTAGAGGCTAGCCGGGAAGATAGTCTAGGAAGGTCCAGAATTTGCAAATACCTCTTCCGCTTCGAGTGCATCAGCTTTCGTCTGTCTAGCAGTAAGCGGATTCCCTCATTATACAAAGCCCTATGAAGTCGGAGTACCTACATCTCTAATGTTATCCTTGGTCCAGATCGATCCGGAACTTACCTTGCTAGATATAAATCAGGACGCCAGTATCTCCACTGCAGTTCTCGCCAGGCATTAATCATGAGGTTCCTCAACACTCAAATCGTCGTTTTCGCTTGTGTGCTTTCTGCCCATGCATTAATCTCTCGTGCTGTGCCGAAGTCCGTGATAGATAGTTGCCCATCGGCTCAGGAGGAGTCCTCTACCTCGATCTTAATCAATGGAGAAGAGATTATACACCAGTCGTTCACTTGTCCAGATGGGAAATTCGATGATGATCCGACCTCGAGAAGGGATTATAACGCTGGCGGAGGGTCTCTTTGGAAGCGTTCATCACTCGAGGCGCGTGACACCATAGATTGCGAATTTCCTCAGCTCATGCCTGAATGTCAGTGTGGGAGGGAATGTATGTAATAATTTTCGCTGTATATAGCTTGGAATCCTGCTGATATATTACTCCTTAGTCTCCTGCATTTGCTTTGAGGGCGATGTCGCTCCGGAAGAGTTCGATTGTACCCAGTTACTTAACATGGTTACTTCGGCAAACGAGGATGCTCAAACGTTCACTGTCGCTGCAAACGGAGCCGATGTTATTTCTCTGCGAACCTGTGCCCTGATATTTGTTAACAATCAGGACATTGCAGTGGATTACTGCTGGGATAATCTTGTCAGTCAAATTGTGCTTTCCGTACAAAACCTGGACTGATTCTATGCTTTATCCCTGTCCTTCAACTTTCGTGTATGACCTTTCAGAACTTTATCGGAGAGCAAGCACGGAGACAGTGTGTTAGTGACGAGTCGGACCGCGTTGTAGGTGGATTATGCAACCCGAGTGATGGTCTTTACTCTATCCAACTAGGTCCAGCACCGATCCCGCATAAATTTTAATGCGGAATTTTAGCCCCCTTTGAAGTTGCCAGTTAAATTTCTTGTATAATCTCATTAAATATGGAATCATGGATCGGTGTTCACATATTAGCCACAGCTTGATCTTCACAAAGGGATGAATTGCAGCTTGAGTAGAGGCGGAGTAAGGATGAGAACTGCCAATCAATCTCATGGATCATTGGATACTGAATGCGTCCATGTCGATCCCTTTATCTTCGGAATCTGTGTTTGGTCTTCCGCCTATAGTGAGCACTGACTGGCACATCTCAACAATAGTAGTAAAGTAGTTGTGCTTCGCCAATATGACAACAATATTGTACATCCATGCACATCACGCACGTACAAGTAATACATGTATCTCAAGCACATCACATTAACCGTCCTTTCGATAGTGAAATGAGAATGTGACGAAATACATGAAAGGCAGCGCGCAATCAGGTGGACGTGCGCGAAGCGTGAGGCCAGAAGCCAGATCGTGTCGGATCCGACTTAACCATGGCTTGAGCGCATCACCTCTTCCTCTTACCACTCTCAACGAACCATGAGCTACCCAGCCAGACCATACAACACTGGGCCCTCAGAGAACGCTCCTTTGCTTGGTGTCCCGACCCAACCCGCCCCTTATCCAGGACCGTTATCTCCATCGCCATACGCGAATGACGCCCCGAACGCGCGCAAGCCGCCGAATGACAGATACGAGGAGAGCAGACATACCCGTAGACGTACAATAGCAGCGTGTTGTATCGTTACGGTGTTTATTATTGCACTTGCTGTATTTCTTGGAATTTGGGAGAGCGGGATTACAGACTCAGACCCGCGAGCCGTCGCACACGACGTTTTAGCACATTCACCTGTCATAGTGAGTTTTCGTCATGCTCATCTTATTGTGACATTTTTTGACGTTTTTGAAATTGTTCGTGTGTTAAAATAGGATGGGCACATTGACCTACCAGAGCTCGTTCGTGTTCTTTACAGAAATAATATTTCTGCTTTCGATTTGCGGAAACGAATGCCTGGGCATGTTGACATTCCAAGACTCCGTGAAGGTCAAGTCGGTGGATTCTTTTGGTGAGTGTGTCATTGAAGCAGTTGCACGTTGATGTGTGAAGGAGCAGAGTCACTCCAAGCTACGCAGCTCCAAACTCAATGCGATTACGTGCTACCTCACACACCACGGTCAAGCTTTAGTTGGCCTGCATGTTGTTAATTTTATATTTGATAGGTCTGTGTATGTTGACTGCAAGCCAGAAAACGAGAACTTCACGAGGCCTTCATACCGCGTTCGCGACACGTGAGTTCCTTACACTGCAATATGTTGCATTGTCATCAGCTCAATTCATCACTCCAATACACGCTCTATTCATTTGACAGTCTAGAACAAATCGACGTCACGCACCTCCTCATAGACGAGTACTCCGACACCTTCCAATTTGCAGGCTCAGCAGCAGACATCCGTTCCGCACTCCGAAAGAAGAAAATCGCAAGTCTAATCGGTGTAGAAGGTGCACACCAACTAGGCAACTCCCTAGCCGTCCTCAGACAGTACTACGCTCTCGGTGCACGGTACCTTACACTGACACATGCCTGCAACAACGCATTTGCAGACTCTGCTGGAATTTTTGACCCGCCGAAGCCGGTTCATGGTGGACTCAGCCCGTTGGGCGAGTCACTTGTGTATGAGATGAATAGACTCGGGATGTTTGTGGATCTGTCGCATGTTAGTGATGATACTGCAAGACAAGCACTTGCCCTGTCAGCGGCACGAGGTGCTCCGGTGATTTGGAGCCACTCATCTGCGAGAGCTGTTCATAATGTACCAAGGAATGTCCCGGATGACTTGTTGGAGATGCTGACCATGGATGACGATGCTATGGCAAGGTGGAGAGGGAAGACCGATGGTGTCGTCATGGTATGTTTATTTTCTTCTTTATTTGGCGAAAACAAGTCTTCTTGGTTCATGGAAATTAATAATTAATTCCTACATAGGTTAATTTCGCACCCTACTTCATTGCACCTGAAGGCCAGGCCACGCTCGCTCGTGTAGCGGACCATGTAGAACACATCGGAAAAGTCGCAGGGAGAGAGCAGTACGTCTATATCTATACCTCTATCACTCCTTTGTGCGGACTCACGAATTAACTCGTAACAGTGTCGGGCTCGGTAGTGACTTTGACGGCATTGGTGCTGCACCAACAGGCTTAGAAGACGTCTCAAAGTATCCAGACCTCGTACGTCTCCTTTTCCTTGTTCTTTCCTCCCTTCAGAATGTGATAATAACTCATTCCTACTTTCATTAAAAGATCGCGGAACTCTACGCCCGCGGCTGGTCCCGTGTCGAGCTCGCAGGACTCGCAGGCGGGAATCTCCTACGCGTCATGGAGCGCGCGGAACGCGCAGCACTGCAGATGCAGCGTGACGGAGACAAACCTGCGATGGATGTGTATGACAAGAGAACGGACTTACCTGAGAGGGAGATACCTATATAAGAATAAGGGGATTTAGGTCTTGTTGTGCTGCTTCATTTAATTTTTGGTTTAGCCTTTGTCTCGTTATTGTCGCGGTCGCTTCAGTTGTGACTGTTTTCAGTACCTGTTTTGGACTTCTCTACAAGCTCATACAAAGCTCATGACGTGACGCCTGCGCAGTCTGGGTATGCTCATGTACGCTCTTAGATCACGTAAGTAACTATAGCGCAGTGCTACAAGTTGGAACCCTAGTATAACTGTCATAGTTGCCACCAGTAGTACTCGATCAGAACCCTTGAGCTCGATGACACGGACCAGCCACTCAATTCGAGTACAGCCTTTATCGTTCTTGGGAAGAGCCGCCACCACTTAAAAATATGCGTGCACAGAAATTCTCTTATCGCCGGTAGATGGTTATAACTATGCCTCTCTGATACACATCACGATCATGATTTGTGTCATCTTCATACTATAACAGGTCTTGGTACCCTCTTCGTATTTACTTAATTTGCATACTTCTTTGCTCGATTCAACCCATTTTTAGCCCGTCTTGCGTGTACAGAACTCAGCAAAGGTGCGTCGCCATGACAAACAGAAGTTCAATCATGCAATATCACCCATCTGTAGCAAACAAAGCCTTCTCAGCACTTTGTAAGTTCTGATGCTATCAATATCGTCCACTTCACTTTCCTTTGAAAACAAACTTGGTGGACCGATGTGTATAAAGCATCAGGTGCGAGAGGGTCTTTATCATATTACCCCAGTGCAAGCATGTCTCACTCTCGTTCAGGATCTCAAAGCAAGCCTACAAACTCTGACAAACGGCCCGAGGAACCAGAAGGCTGTGACAAGCATATGAAGGATTTCCAGGACAAAATGATGCATGCAACAGCATGGGACGAAGTTGATTTCACTCAAGCTGGTGACGCCCTCGGAAAACTGTATCACTGTGTTAAAGAGGAAAATTCTGCTAAGGCGCGTGCGAAAGCTGAGGAGAAACAATTGGGAAATGGGGAAAGTAATGAGAAGAAGTAGTATTAGAAGTCTTGAATTTACTGTTTCACACATATTTTGATAAAAGAAGACAATACAGAATTGTTATAATAACTAAATATAATTCATGACTTATAATTGTTCATAGTATTGAATTGAGAAGACAATTCACTGTACTTTCTATACACAGTTATAGACTTGCATTACTACAGCTTTTTATATGTTCTATTGATTTTAATATGTACTATAAGTGTGCTTCAAAAATGGTTAGTATTGGCAGAGGATTTGCATTACACTATACAGTTATATGGTTGATCAGACAATTTACAGTATCTTGAATATTCTGTACACTGTACATGTTATGAAATGAAAAATTTTATTACTCTTTTATTTTTTATTTTAATTATCATAACAGGTCTACACTCTTACTCTTTTTGTGATAGCTTGGATTCTAACACTCTGCCATTAGGTCTCAAATTATCCAGGTTTCAAATTTTATAAGGTCTGCACAGTCTGGATATACTCATGTATACCTTTATTTCACATAAGTAACTGTGGTATAGTGCTACCAAAAGGAACCAGTGTACTGTCAGTGGTAATGCTTGTACACTGCTATAGCCTATAGTTGCTACTTGTCTAGTCTAGTAATACTCAATCAGAAGCCTTGGGCTCAGTGACACAGACCAGCCACTCAATTTGAGTATAGCTTTCATCATTCTTGGGAACAATTACTACCACTAAAAAAATATGTGTACTCAGAAATTCTCTTATCACCAGTAGCCTATAGGTGGGTACACAATCATGATTTATGTCATCTTTGTACTGTAACAGGTCTTGGTGTCCACTTTGTATTCCTTAATTTGTACACTGCTTTGTTCGATTCAACCCTACAGCATGTCTTGTGTTTACTGAACTCAGCAAAGGAGCGTCACCATGACGAACAGAAGTTCAGTCGTGCAATGTTATTACCCATCCGTAGCAAATAAAGCTATCCCAAGCTCCAGCAATTTGTTGGTTTTGATGTTATCAATATTGTCTGCAATGTACATCAGTTTTCTCTGTTTGGAAACAAACTCGGTTGATGTGTATAAATTCAGTCGGGTGCGAAAGGATCTTCATCACATTACCCTAGTGACGAGCATGTCTCACTCTTGTTCAAGATCTCAAAGCAAGCCTACAGAGTCAGGTTCCAAAGGCAAAGACAAATACAATGTCAATAAGTCAGAATGGTGTGATCACCACGTGAGAGATTTCAAGGAGGCGATGACAACTGCAATGTCATTCGGCGACTCTGATTTCACTCGAGCTAGTCAAAGTCTCGATAGACTGGCTTTGTGCTGTGCAGAAGAAAAAGAACTTAAGGAAGATTTGAATGTGCGTGACAGGGCAGAAGAATTGATGTTTGTGAAGAGAGAAGGTATGCAAGAACAAGGGGCAAGGTGATGATTGACTGCTCAGTGTCTCTCATCCTTATATTGTATGTATTCTAACTGAGACATTATGAAGTCATTGTCTTGTGATAAACTCATCATCTTGTTATACTCCCCTTCAAACTCTTACTAGTCTGAGTAAACTAGTAAGATGTTTGACTTGTGGTACATATAGTGCTTTTGTTAATATATCTGCTCTTTGATTGTTTGTCTGTATGTATTTCACATTTATGTACTCTAACTTAATATAGTATTTAATAAAATCTTTCTTATGATCTAAATGCTTTGTCTGTTCTGAGTATTTGAGTTTGTCTAATGTAACTGTTTGTATGACAGCATTGTTAATTGTAATAAATATTAATTAGTGCTTCAGAGACCTGTAGAATCTCTTCAGCTACATGAGTAAGTGTGATTACTTCTTGTATTCCTCTTACAAGAGCTATTAATTCAGCTTCATACATTGAATTTGCTACTAGTCATTATCTAACACTTAAACATTGTTACATGTACTTAAAAACTACAAACAATGTCTGGCTCCAACTCAGCAGTACAAATCAATCAATATTGAACAAATATACAGACACAGACAGTATGATACAAGAAGGGCATTGTACAATATTAGGATATGCATTTTACTTGAGCAATTCATTAGTTTCATGGTTGAGTAAAAGACAAACCTCCATACCAGGGTCATTAAGGTATTTAGCTAACTGATTTGTTGCAAATACTATATCTGGCTGTGTACAGTCTGTAATGTATCTAAGTATACTAACCATGTTCATGTATAGTATATTAGACATTTGTTTTCTATTGTTATTGGTTTGCAATATTGTTTTTAATTGTGTACCCAGTTACATAGGTGTTTGTATATTCTGTTTGTTTGTAAGTTTGTAATGTTTGATTATACTATTAATATAATGTGTCTGATACATCCTAATGAATCTATACTCTCTGTTGTATTGAATCTCTATTCTAAGTAGCTAATGTAATTCACTACTGTCTGTATATTATAAATGACATACAATAGATTGTTTTATTATTATAATAGTATTATTATTCATTACTATAATAGTAATATTGTTAACATGTACAAATAATATGGTTACAGTTATTTCTTTCTTCTTTACAAAGAATACAGTGTTATTATGTTCAGATTTTGTTAATCTGTATTTAAGTAGTATATTAGATAGTGTTTTATACTATCTTCTACCAGCTTGTTTTAATCTGTATAGTACTTTTTGTAATTGTAATATTTGTCCATTCTGTAGTCTGTCTATTAAGTTACCTAGAGGAGGTTTAACATATATTTCTTTGTCTTCCATTAATTGTCTGTATAGATATGCCAATTTAATATTTATCTAATGTATTTCATAATTATTAGATACTACCTATACTAATATTAATCACACTATAGATAGTCTAGCAGTAGGAGCAAATAAATTGTCTGTATGATAGTTAAGGCCATTAATCTGATAGTTTCCTTGAACTACTAATTGTGCTTTGTATTTTTCTATACTATTGTCAGTGTATTACTTTATTTTATAGACAAATTGTGTTCTGATAATGTTAATATTATTGTATGGATTCATGATTTCCTATGTATTATGATTTTCTAATTGTTTTATTTTGTCTTTCATAACTGTTATTTATGAATCACAATCTGAATGTTAGATTGCTTTATAAAATGAAGTTGGATCCCATTGTATTTCACTTATTTTAGTATTAAATTCTGTTAAATGAATAGTAATATTATTTTCATCCTTTTTACTAAGTGTATACATGTGTTTTGTTACATGTTTATTCTCTATGTATTGTTCAAGCTTGATAGTATGTTTTATTAGTTTCTGTTTCTGTTCCAATCAATGTAATTTAGGTTCTACTTCTTTTTTGGTTAATTTAACTTTGTTGTCTATTAAGTCTGTTAGTTCTACTACTTTTCCTTTTTTATTAGGATCAGTGTTGTCTGTATCATTGTTGTCTGTTCTTATTATTCTGTTATCTGTTTTGTTATTTTTAATTATTAAACACTTGTTCATATTGTTGTTTGTATTGTCTATTTTCTCCCCTTCAATTTGAGGTTTACCTTTAAGAAATTGGATATTTTGTTTGATAGTAATTTTATTATTGTGCCAAGTTTTATAGCCTTTACTTTCATTGTCTAATTCTATCCAACAAGCAATTATACCTTACTATTATATTTTTGTAGGATTTTTGTTACAAATAATAATAATATATTGACTAAATTCATGTATATTATTAATAGTTCTGTAGGTTCTGTAACATTTGTAATATGGAGTATTATAATTTAATACAGTACACAGTGTTCTATTATGAATATAGGTAATATGAATTACTGCTTCAGCCTATAATGTGAATAGTAGTTTAGTAGATGTTAGATATGCTCTTACACCTCTAAATATAGTTTTATAGGTTTGTTCTACTATTCTGTTCTGTTGTAGAGTATAATGTACTGTTAATCTTTATTTTGTTCCTTGTGAATCTAAATATTGTTGGAAATCTTTACTAAGGAATACAGTATTGTTATCACTTTGTAATAGCTTTATTTTTACTCTGTACTGTGTAAATATTTTAGTTGTCCATTATACATATTCTGTATATACATTAGATTTTGTTTGTAATTTGAGTATTATGTACTAACAAGTAGAATTGTCTACAATTGTTAATAAATAGTATATGTTCTTATATGTGTACAGTTTGATAGGACTGATAATATTAATATGAATAAGATCTCCAAATTGATTTGCAAGAGGAGATTAACATAGTTTTAGTATTGGTGTACATTCAATATTTGCTTTTATATATTTAATACATTCCTTTTCTTCATAATTCATTATTTTAGTTGATAGTACACTTAGTTGTGTTTTTTAATAATTGTTTGATATAATTGTAACTTATATGTCTAAGGTGTTTATGTATGTCATAAATAGATAGTTTGTTCATTATTTTTAACAAGTAATTATTGTACAAAATGTACAAGTTATTTCTCAGTCATACATGTCTGACATATTTGTTACATAGTAATGTTATAGTACAAGTATCATTTGTAAATATAAAAGAATAGCCTTCCCTACATAGTAGTGCTTGACTTATGAGGGAAAAGTTTATTTGTAGATAGTAATAGATGTTTTGTAATATTATAACACTTCTTTCTTGTGTATTCTTCAGAATTTTAATATGTATAGATCCTGCTTGATTAAGAGTCATTGTTAATCTATTTGTAATAGTTACAATCATAGGAGTTATGTTGTGTATGTCTGTTAATTGAAATAGATAAGGAGTAGCATGTATTGATACACTAGAATTGAGTAAATCTATTATTTGTATATAGGATTTCTTATTAGTTATGATTGTATTTGTAAATATGTTAGTACATACCTAGGAAGTGTATTGTTTGAATTGTTTGTCCTGGTTGCTTAGAATAAGAGTGTAGGCATTATCATTCATTTCAACATTGCCTTCATTTAATTCAACATTGTTTTTGTTTGGATTTTTAATAATAAACATGTTTGTTGTGTTTTCCACAGTTTGATTTGTTTTATGTACAACATTAGCTTGATGTTTAGTACACACAAGCTTTGCAGCTTTAGTAGAAGGTTTGCAGCATTCCTTAGAGAAATGTCCTGTTTTTCCACAATTGAAACATTTCAATTTTGACAGATTGAACAGATTCAGCAGATTGAATTTCCTCTACTTATTAGCTTTATACATTGTATTAGTGTGTGTGTTATTCTTTGTCTGATCATTAGAATCTTGTACTTGTTTAGTACAGTAATTATTGTAGGCATTCTACAATGTAAGAATTAGTTGCTTCAGTTCAACTTTCTTATGTTCATCAACTAGTTTGCCTTCATTTTGGGTATTAGTACAGGCAGTTCTTAAAAGTCTTCAGCCCTCTTGTATTTGGAAAGTAATCAGCACAATGTCTGACCCAACCAATTGTACATATTTTCACTTTATTTTCTTTCATATAATACTCTCTAAAATTAATAAAACTATGGTGTTATCCATTCTATAATAAAATAACATAAAAATAAGGAATAATAAGGAGGCAAAAACTGTATATTTCTAATGTGTCTCTGTTCTTTAAGAGACATGTTGATCATTACCAGTCCTTGTACCACAGACAACTACCTAGTATTTACCTACTCCCTAACAGTAAGTATCTGACCTTTTCTTTTGTTTTATAGTAAAAAAATAAGTAGTAATAATTTTACAGTATATTATTTTAGCAAAATATCTTATATTTTACTTGAAAAAGCTGTATTACAGAAAAGTGTCAATCACTTTCCAAATACAGGGGGCTGAAGACTTTTGGGAACCACCTGTAGATTGTATTATTGTATTTACTATATGTGTATATTGTTCAGGGGTAGCAAGTAATATTACTACTTTATATATAGAGTCTCTTAGTGAATCACTATTAGTAGACAGAGTTGTATATGCTTCCTCAAGTCTGTCTAATGTATGTCCAAAGTGTTTAACATAATCTCTACAGATAAACAGTGCTGATTCATTAATAGCCTTTTTACATACTGTTTAAGGGTTGAAGCATTCTTCAAGCACCTTCATCAGCTGAGGGATAGATGTATTAAAGTGTATATAGTTTGCTAATATAGTATCAGTAATGTTGTTAACAATGTATGCATGAATGGTCTTAGTCATCTCCCTCTCAGCTTTGTTCTGTGGTTCATCCTTTAGTAAGTGTTTGAAGTATGTAGCTACAATACTAGAAACAATGTAGTAGTACTACATCTTGTAGTTTGCTTCAGTCTTAAGTATTGTAATGTTTTGACCAAAGTATTTGAGTATGTTGGCTGGTTTGCAGTGTGTGTCAGTACAAGAGGGAACCATATTACTAAGTTAATGTAGGTAGGGAGTACAAGGCTCATAACCTGTAAAGAGAGAAGGCACACAAGAACTCAGACAAGGGGTGAGGTGACAATTGACTGCTCAGTGTCTCTTGTCCTTATATTGTATGTATTCTAACTGAGACATTATAAAGTCATTGTCTTATATCTTGGAGGATATGAGAAGAGACTTGAGGCTCAGAAAGGAGGAAATGGAGAGAAGAAGTAGTACTAAAAGCTAAGAGTACACTGTTTCACAAGTACTATGTAGAAACAAATTGATAAAGGTTACATTAGATGAAAGAATAAAATTCTATGACTTAACTTTTACTTTCTGCATTTACAGTAATTGAGAGAGCAATTTCCTGTATTTTGCATGTGTAGTTACAATGCTACAGTCTTTCATAGGCACTATATGCCTTATTACAATATATAGCTGTATAATCTAAAAGTTATTACTGTAGTGGTCTGTATATAGGTGACAGTTACGGGTAGCGGTGCCACTGTCCCGTTCCTTATTTTAGCATGTGTAATGTGTAATGGGGGCCCGGGGGTCTGTCACTAATAAAATCGGTTTTACTTCCTAATGTTAGTCTACATTTTTTGGCCACTGTGAACTATCACCATTTAGGTGACAGTAATGTGCAGCTTTGAGGCCGTCATTTTAGACATGGCCTTTCTAACATGTAACGGTCAAATCCATGTCACCTACATACGGACCACTACAGTAAAATGCGTAATCCGTTCAACTAGTTAAACCTACTTTTACTTTATTTTTTTAAAGCCGATCTAAACCTATGAGCGTGAAATGTAGTTAAACCATCTAGAGAACCAATTGTATCTTTTATTATATGTTTATTCTGATTCAGGCGTTGTTACAGTAATTATACTGACTTTATATATATGCAAGACTTTCCAGTTTATATCGTCCTTCACATGACACACAACATAAAAATGCTATTTGAGTTCACTTGTAGGACAATACACGTATTATACTGTTTTTAACAACGAAAAACACCAGACAGAGATGTGTGCAGAGGCGAAAGGATGAAAAATGAAAGTCACAGAAGAACGGCAAATTCATCTCCCTTCACACGCGCGCACGAACATACATTACGACCACAGGCGAATGTTTGTTCCATTTACCCACATATTGATTCGAAGAGAAAAAAGGGAACAGAAGACAAAGGATGAAAGGAACAACATTTAACTCCCATTCATGCCTGTGATACCAATCGTGTCCCTAATCCTCGCGATGTCACTCGGTGATAGCGAACCTTTGCTACCGAGTAAGAAAGCTTCGAACGCTTGGTCTGCGTCTCCTGCTTGGGGGAACTCGGATCTGTAATAAGAAATTTATCAGCATTAAAAATTCCACGTCGTAGCCAAACAAGAGTCGTTAAGGTAATGATGATAGTCTGAGAGAATAGGAAAATGTGAATACGAAGAAGTTTGACTAACCGTAAGAAGCTATACAGCCGATCCCAGAATTCCGGTGACGTTATCCGTTTATGATAAGCATCGAGGATCGTCGTCTCAGCAGCAGACGGGATGTTGGACGTATCAAGCGTGAGCGGAATAGGTGAAGTTGGATTATCAAGCGGGAGGGATTTCATAGACGGCGACGGTGATGGAGAAAGTACAACAGAAGGTATCCGGCCATGTCTTCCCCGGTTACCAGTACCAGTATTTTGAGACTGAGGATCAAGCGACATCTGCGTATCTCCATCTCCATCTTTCGGCACGGGAGAAGCAGAAACAGCAGCAGCAGTAGTGTCCCAGTCCCATTCGAAACCCGGTTTTAGCATCAAGTTGACCGTATCACCGCTTTTTACGGGATATTCTTTAAGAAGTTTGTTATCCGCGAGCGCCTTACCGCGTAACAGGAGGCGCTGGGCGTCTGGTGGTGGTGCACCGGGTTGAGAGGCGAGCTGAGACTTGATGGAGGAGATTGCGTCGGTGGGAAGGACAGAGACGTTGAATGTGCGCGCGGGCTTGGTAACTTTAAATACCAGCTCGATGGATTCTGTTTCCCGAGAAACGAGTTAAATGACGTGTTGTACAGGCGTGGGACGTAAATAAGCGTACCAGAAGAAGTGGAAGCTTCCGCATCGACTTTCCGTGCAGGTGGCTCTGGCAAGTCGACCTGACGTCCACTCAGGTTAATAGCCGGATGCGAGATACCTAAAGGTGGATTACTCACTGGAATTATAGGTAATTTCTTTAACGAATTATGAGGTGGCTGTTGGTAATCATCCGGATACTGAACAGGTAGAGAACCGATGTTATTGAGATGAGCTTTAACGAATGCAAGTTCAGCGCTGTCAGACATAGTGAGCTATCGATCTTTTAATCGATACGGTAAAGGAGAAAGTAGTGGGTTGATCGTGGTGGATAAAGTGAAAGATGCTAAGAGCCTTGAGACGTGTCAGACGCGCTGTTAAGCAAGCGGCTGAAATGCAAGGCGGTGCAGAGTTTGTGCTGGTGTCGTCATCCTGATTTGTCTACGTACACACCGCTGATCCTTATTACCTAATCAGGGAATCACTCATTCTGACGGTCCCGTGACTCACTGCGTGATTCTCTCAGTCTCTCCGTTGGCGACAAACAGACAAGTGTTCGCTTGTTAAAGGCTTCGTTCGCAATGGCGGTGAGCAGCTCATCAGCATTTGTAGAAAGAACAAATCTCACTGTTATCCACTATCTCTCAGTCCGGCTTCGGTTTTACAGGAGGTGAGCGCAAACACCGCATTCCAACGGGACGGCAAGGTATATGACGTTGGCTCTCGACAGGTCCTTCTCGGTGCTTTGCCTACTGGCAGGAATTCTCCAAGGTATGTCACTGACTCGTATTATCTTCGGCAGAAACTAAACGTCGGCCTTTTGCTGCCCCGATTCTCTTCAGTGCTACGCGAACACGGACAACCCACAAGTGTGTATAGCTCAGTCCGAAGATTACCTTGAATGCCTACACCACACAAAGGAGGTTCGTTACTCCATTTAGGAACGCACTGAACTACCAAACATTTGTTTACATTTATCTTGAATAGATTGAACGGGCAAAAACTGTGAAAGCACAATTCATCAAGAAAGCCGAGCATGAGGCGAAGGAAGGCAGAAAAGCGGGTGACATTCTCGCTGATGGCGTAATAGTCGGATTAGGGCTTATAAGTAAAGAGGAGGATGGGGGGCATAAATAATAATAGGTATGCTTCAACTGAACGAATCGTTCATCCATATTATGATTTTTTAGCTTGGCTCATCGAATTAAATTTCTTCTCGACAGTTGGTTCTGCGAGATTCGGCAGTAGAGAACTTGTCACCTTTATTGTAGAGATCGGAATCAACCTAGTAAAATGGGGAAAGCCAGTGAACAAATTTGTTTCTTATTGGGTCCACCTACGTTCCTGTCGTTGTCCGATGGATGATTGGCAGCTGGGTAAAAATCACCAATGAACCGTCGTACCCACTTTCCAGCCGCAGCCCTTTGAACTGTAAAGGACGACTCAAAATAAACCTTTCTCTCCAACATTCAAGACATCAAAAGCTTATTCGATACTAACCTAACTTCTGTTCTGCTCCTCATGCATAGGACAAATCTGAACTTGGCAGTCACTCGGAGGCATTTTTATCCCATTCCGCCATCAACAAAACAAGGCAAGGTTATCCAGTCACCAGACTATCTTGCGTCGGTCAGATACCTGATATTCATTTTTATTTTTATTTTGCCGTCAAGATCCATTCAACATTGTTCGCAATGTAGACTTAATATGGTTTGTTTCCAAATGTCTCCAGCACTCCAATCTTGGTAGTCGACCAAGAATACGCCTTTGGAAAAAGGAGACATGTGCAGGCACACAAGTACAGCACTGCAAGGCGTGCTGATGGCAAGCAACTGTGAGGAAGACTTGGTTTGATTGACGCCCATGTGAATAATATTCACTGTTCGATCAACATGCGGCAACGTGTTGGATCAGTGTTCTGTTGTGCATACAGCATCACCGATGCTTGTACTTAAAGTGCGGCTGATGTGCAGATAAAGGGATTCGAGCTTGACTCCTATCCACCTTCATGTCCAACGCAACCCACTACTCCCTTGAGGGTTGGTCTCCTGTTCTCTTAACATGTTGTTGTCTAACTTTCCGTTCAGTTAGGCGCCTCACGAATATCAAGCGCGTGTCACGTACCCCTGGCTATATGTCAAAGTGACGTTAAGGAGAGACATCATAGGAAAAACTGGGATCATCCGAGAGGACGAGCCGCCCACATCAAATAACATCTTCACATTGTGAGTGAATCCAATCCCGATGCTTAATCCCTTCTCAGCATCCTTGCAGTTCGACGTCAGATGAATTGGATGTTCTCAGTGTATCTGTCACTGGAGAAGCAAGGCATAGGACGTGTAATCGTATGGTGGTCAATTGTCAAATTGGATGTGTGGACATCTCGGTCAATGAGCTACTAGCAAAGTGCATCAAAGGGGAAAGTGTGTCCTGAATGTCCTTGTCGGAGCAGCTGACAAGCTTACAGCCAGACATAGCCAATTTAGAACTCTTGACTTTGTCCAATCATGTGCGTACAGTATCTACATCCGTTGGTACAATTTGCCTGTCCTTGAAGGACGTTGATGTCGAGAAACGTGTCGGAATTGATGTGGAGGCTGTAAGTCAGGAAATCAGACAAGACAAGTTGTCTACGAATGCTACAGATTCCACAGCCGATACTATTGGATCCCTCGTCCGGAAGTTGGATGAAGTTTTCAAAGCTGTCAATGACATAAGTTCTAAGGTAAGTGTCACTTAATCGAAGAAAAGTGTCATAAATTAAACAATCAACGTTCGCAAGGTCCATCCATTCCTGAATCTGGCATGGCAAGCAGCCTCCGTTTTGTACAAGGTATGCCCGACCCCAACTTTTACACCGGGAACTGAATAATCTTATGTCTAAATTTCATAGATCGTTTCGAACCAATTTAAAACAGATAAGAAGCTAGTCGACCTCGTCTACTTGATGCAACAAGCATTTGGTTTTGCAAGCGACGCAAAAACATTGTCTGATAGGGCTGAGAAGTTCAAGGAGACAATATCTGAATTCCTGGGGTTGACTATTGAGTTGTGCGCAAGATGGTCTCAAATAGCGATGATCCGTTTGGAAAGCTTGGCGAGCTTGTGTTCAATATCCGTTCACTCAAGGGACTCGACAATCTGTATACTACCGTGCTCGAGCAGTGGGGTATCTCATGGGAGGATCCGCACTGTGTTGAACGATTTGGGAAGGTTCTTGGGCTAGTCCTATTTGGAAAGGAGCCTGTTTCGGATGATGATATTGACAATATCCTGGGCCTTGGACAAGGGAAGGCGCATCTGACACTCCAGAGACTGCGTTCTGTTCTTTCATATGAGCCTGGGCAGGCCGTGCGACTCCACCATTCATCCTTTTCCGATTATCTTGTGACGGCGGAGCGTACCAGTAACCTACAATGTTCGTTGATATCAATAAACAGAGGCATATGATTGTAACCAGATGTTTCAACGTTATGGAGCACGCACTGCGTTTCAACATATGCGATCTGGAGACCTCGTTCATTTGTAACGATGACATTCCCGATCTCGGGAATCGAATTACAAAGAATATACCACCAAACCTTTCATACGCCTGCCGGTTCTGGGCCGAGCATATTCGTGAAGTACCATATTCCCCGGACTTGGCCAGTAAATTAACGACTTTTGCGTGCGATCATCTTCCATACTGGTTAGTCTGACGAAGAACTTCAATCACATTGCCAGTCGAGCGCTTATGAATGCTGTCCTGTGGACTGCGGCAATTGTTTGTGTAATTTCACATACCCTTCTACGAGAGCTTGCTAATGTTGTTAACAGTCAGATGAATCCGAGATCTCAACTTTTCTGTGGGATGCCTACCGACTAATGAATATTTTCAATGTGGCGGTCTCTCAAAGTGCTCCCCATATCTATCTATCCATGATTTCGCTTCTGAAGGACGAATCCATTGTATCTAAACACTACTCAGAGGCGCACCCTACTGTTGTTGTGCATCGATTAGGGACGAAACCGCCTACCTGTTGCATTAAGGTTTTACAAGGTCATGATAGGGGTGTCAACTCAGTCGTTTTCTCTCCAGACGGGAAGCTCATCGCCTCTGGCTCCAACGATCATGCAATCCGGACTTGGGACGCCGAAAGCGGGAAGCTTCTTGTGGGTCCTCTTGGAGGGCACACCAAGGATGTCTGCTCGGTCGCATTCTCACCTGATAGCAAGCGCGTTGTCTCCAGCTCGGGCGATCACACGATTCGGGTTTGGGACACTGGAAGTGGGGAGGTCGTTGCGGGTCCACTATTCTTGTTTGGGACACTGAAAGCAAAGAGATTGTTGCAGGTCCGCTTGCAGGGCACACTCGATGGGTTAGATCAGTTGCATTCTCGCCCAATGGGAAGTATGTTATATCCGGCTCTGGTGATCGCACGATTCGCGTTTGGGATGTTGAAAATGAGGAAGTCGTTGCAGGCCCATTTGAGGGGCACGATGGGTGGGTGAGCTCTGTCGCATACTCCCCTGACGGGAAAAGTGTCGTTTCTGGTTCTTTTGATTGCACTATTCGTGTTTGGAACATCGAAAGCGGGAAAGTCGTTGCAGGCCCGTTCAAAGGACACACAGATTTGGTTGAGTCGGTCGCTTTCTCGCCCGACGGTGAGCGGGTCGTCTCTGGCTCCGCTGATTGCACTATACGTGTTTGGAACGTCGAAAGCGGAGAGGTTGTCGCTGGCCCATTTGAAGGCCATAGCAATTCAGTCATGTCGGTTGCATTCTCGGCCGATGGCAAGCGTGTTGCCTCTGGCTCTTCGGACTGCACTATTCGTGTCTGGGACACTGGAAGCGGAGAGGTCGCTACGGGCCTAGTGAATGGGCACACGGATTGGGTCCAGTCGGTTGCATTCTCGTCCGACGGCAAGCGCATTGTCTCTGGCTCTTCCGACTGCACTATTCGTGTTTGGGATATTGAAAGTGGGGAAATTGTTGCAGGCCTGTTTAAAGGGCATACAGATATGGTTACGTCCGTCGCATTCTCATCCGACGGTAAGCATATTGCCTCTGGCTCTTGGGACCACACTGCTCGTACTTGGGAGATTGTAAATGGACAGATTGTGTCTACTCGGTCGCATTCTCACCAGATAGGAAGTGCCTTGCGTCTGGCTCTGCTGATTGCACTATTCGTGTTTGGGACGTCGAAAGCGGAGAATACGTCGCGGGCCCGTTTGAAGGGTACACAGACTGGGTCTCCTCAGTCTCTTTCTCGCCGGACGGGAAGTGTATCGTGTCGGGCTCCTATGATCACACGATTCGCATTTGGGACGTCGAAAGTGGGAAGTAGTGCTCCGCGCGTAGCGTATA